TGAAACCCAGATGGCTCGGTCATTGCCTCGCAATCAATCTCTACAGGGGAGGTATACCTTTTGGCCAGATCTACCAGGTCGCCCCAACAAGAACTATCTGTAAGAGGAAAAGGAATTGGGGGCCTGGGATAGTCAGTGTAGAGTTTGGGCCCAAAACTACGGATCAACTTTGTCCCACTTTCGTCAAGCTCCTCTCTCCCCTCCAGATATTTGGTTGCTGAGATCCAGACTGAATCAAAACGCTCATGAATCTCTTTGCCTTTCTTCACATAGAGTCTCAGATCCTGGATAGTACTCTCTGGGAACTTTGTGAGAATGAGGAAGATTGACATAGCTTCTTGTTTGAAACCGACTGCATTGACATATCAATATTGAAAAGTATCCTTGAGAGCACTCTTGCTAAGACCAGTCAAGACTGACCCACTGACTGTGAAAGGTCGAGCGTCCAAGCCAGCTGACATAAGCTGAGGGGTGAGTCATCTGCCTTAAAGAGACCCTCAGACCTAGTACATTGTAAAATGGATGAATGCCCCAAGGAGGACGCCTGGTTGGCGTTACAATGTAAGAAGGACTTTTAACGAACTCCCTGGACTACTCGAGTATTCGAAGGAGCATTTGTAAGTGAATACAAACGTGGAACTAAGAATAGACGCTTGAATAGACGCGCGAGACTACCCACCCTAGCGCGAGGGTTGAGCTTCATTTCCCAAATTTCAAAGCTCTCTCACTCAATGGCCCATCCCCATCCATCTCAAAGCATCAGGTGGGGGTGACCCTATGACGAAACACCCCGCGGCCTGGATATGTACGTGGGTGGGGTTGAGCCAACTGGGACCCCTCTGAGGGGTCGACTAGGCTCGAAAGTCGAACAGGGCGGGGCCTTTCACCGGTGCCATTGCTTGGTTGGTGCCTAGTTTGAACACTTGGACACCTAAAAATCTGAGTGGTCCGTTGCCTCGTGACCAGTTCATCCCCTCCGGGGTACTTTGTGGGGGATCAGTTTGTGGGTATATTAACCACCAACCAATTGTTTTGGGCCCTTTGTTTTTCATCTCTGACGCTACCTGGAAAGCTTGCATGGCTCAAGTAAGAGCTTGAAACGAGGAATCCGATGCACGTATTAGGGCCGCTAGGTCGTCCGCGAACAGGATGGTAGTATGCAGGCTAATTGGGTGTTGTATGTCCTCTACCAATCTTTCAATCGATGGGTCTTTCCTTAAAAAGGAAGCAATGGCCTTCATGATATAAAGAAAGATTGGGCCTGCCAACAGGTCGCCCTGTGTTACTGAATGGAACATTCGATATGGTTGTAACAGATGGTCGTTGACCTGCACTCTTCCGAGTATAGGACCTGAACACATTTTCTGAAATTTGATCCTACCCCCATTTTTTCCATGCATTGTTGTTAGAAGTTCCAGTTAGCCTAGTCGTATGCATTTTCGGAGTCAAAGAATAGTATGGCTGCGTCTGAGAACCCGTTTTTCAAAGGTACGTACGTGTGTTTTTTTCTGGTTAAGACAGTAGGATCCTATCTATGTTTTCCTTCTTGTGCTGATTTTTTAAACATCCATCCATCTAGCCTATTAGCAGGCAAGCACAAGGAGATAGGGAAAAAATGAAAAATCGACGGTACTTGAGGAACAAGCCCTCAAGTGGCCCTATCAGACATCACATTGTTCTGGGCCAAGGCCCCAGCAAGCCAAGTGCCCGCCCTAAGTGAAGGCGGGCCTGAATATTCGTCACAGGCCAACTTCGACATTTCCATATGTGGGTATTCAGGCTCTTGCAGCGCGTCAGTTGGTTGAGTGAACGCGCGAGCCTCACTAAGTTGCGCCATACAGGTGGCCCAGGCCACGAAAGTTGTGCCTGGGCACCTACACAAAAAGCAGGGCCGATACATTGAGAAGCAGGTCGTCGGCCTCTGGAAAAGCAGTACAGCCGATGCACCTACCTGGGGGCCCTGCGCAGATGCAGCTCACAGCCCAAGTCCGGAGACTCAGGCCGCGCCCAACTGTAAAGGGGCCCAGGCCCTCAACTGTAAGTCTCGGCCTGGGCACAGGGTTTGAGGCCCAACCGGAAGCTACTGGAAGCTTCCAGCCAGGCCACAAGCAGCGTGCAGCAGGCTGCCACTTCCATAAAGGAAGTGAGGCAGCCCAGGCCAGGCATTCTGGCCAGCGCTGACAATGTGGAAGTGCTGCTGCGCTCTCGCTTGATGTTGCGCTGCTGCCAAGGGCGCTGACGGGGCGCGAGAGGTGAAGTGGGGCGCTGCAGGGCAGCGGGGCGCAGGCGGCCATAGCCGGGCTGCTAGGCGCCAGGTGGTACAACGGATGATCAGGTGGTCTTCAGGAAGTGAGGCGCTGTGTGGGATAATCAAGGTCTGATTGAGGGTGACGAGTTACGTACCTGGTACATGAAGAGAGGTCGCCGATGGTGTTGACAGTCATGTACATTGGTCTTCGTGAGCCGAAGTGATCCTGTTGTGTGAACCAGCTGTAGAGTAGTATAGTATGGTAGAGTAGGCYGGGCGYTKTGYGCCAGAYAGAGAGAGCGACTCTGGATACTGTGTTGGTGTGGCCTASGGGCTTGGACATTGGCTCAATACTKCATTGTATTGCTCTTTATGGATGGTTTTCTCGGTGCTTTTGTACTCTCTACTTGGGATACTACTACTTGCTCAGCTGTGTGATTTCGCAACTTGGTTTTATGTATATCGCTCACACTCATATTCCTTGCANCTTTTGTACTCTCTACTTGGGATACTACTACTTGCTCAGCTGTGTGATTTCGCAACTTGGTTTTATGTATATCGCTCACACTCATATTCCTTGCAATTTGGTATCGGAGCTGGTTGTGATCACCTCTTACCTGACACCGGTGACATTGTAACTTGGTGCGTTGAGGAGGCTTCATGTGCAGTGAGAATACTTTGCCGCTGGTTCAATAGCGGGGCCTAGGTAGAGAGGCCAGCCGCTGGACGGCTGTGGCGACAGCGGGTGTATGTATGATGATGAGAGTATGCTGAAGTGGCATTTTGGCTGAGGTGGCACTACATTGCGTTGTGGGTGGTACCGAGGCTATTGACCGGTCATCGAAATGCACATCAGCCCAATTGGTGAGAAATTTGTGGTTAGGGGCAGCTATCTCCAAGTATATTGTTCCTATTCCTTATCTACCCTCTCAATCTCTTCTTACCGTGAGGAAGTGAGTCCAACTTGAGTGTCCTCTCTTTGGTGAGGAGTCGTGTGCGCTCTATCTTGAGAGACAACATTCTTCCCGGTGGCGCATCTGGCAGGAGAGGGCGGTGCCTCTGAAGGGCCCTGGTCGAAGCACGTGGGTCACGGTCACCATGCCAACGCAATGGGATTAGTACACACATGCGATGGCTGCTTTGTCCATTGAGGCTCTTTGCTGCGCTGATAGAAGGGGTGTGCGGACTGACCAGTCCTATTGAGACGCTCCCAGACCGTCTATAAACATTTCTGGTTGGGGTCTGAATTGTCCACTAGCTGTGATCGTCGTCCTGTTTGCGACGTTAAATAATTCCTGAGGAGATGGGGGCTCTCCTTAAATCCCTCCTGATCAGCCAGATCATTCAGACGTAAGGCTCGCTGCACGCGAGGGTAAACAAAGGGGCAGGCTGGTCATAAGCATACTTCTTGGGCACAGGGGTGGGCCGTGGTTGCACACCTTAGATACCGCAACCTGATGATGCTCACAGGTACGTTGGATACAGGGGAAGGGGATTCCAATTGTGTACTCAACTGTACATCACTGACATATCCATTGTGCATACATCTGCTCACACTAGTCTAAGTTTCTATTTTGATTAGTTGGTTGACCGACTGCTGACACCTAACAGACAGACTAGAGTAGGACTGTATTCTACCATAGTTAGTTCTCCTCAAATCTTCTGTGCAGACTAATTAGAATAGAGCTAGACAATGTGTACAGTTTGTGAAGATGCTGTTGATGCCGCTTGACTAGTGGACTAGGTAACTCGCTGAGTATTTATTTATTTATTTTTAGATCCGGTCGGACGCATGCTGCGGTAGGTTCCAGTGAGGACATTAGTGCAGACAGCGTCTGCCTAACCTATGAGTGGATCAGAGGGTGGTGAGGGTGCAGATGACGATAGGAGGTTAACAAGGCTATCATCCCTTAGAATCCCTAGAGTGTTTCGGACCCTGCAACCGGGAGAAGAGAGAAGATTAAGGGCCGATGTTAGGGCCCACAATCTTGAGCCTGCAAGAGAAGCAGCAGCCGCTAGAGCGGTAGCAATGAGTAATGCTACTTCCGCAGCAACTGCTGCGAACTCAACTGGTCAAGCGCTAGGCATGCCGACCAGTTCACAGTCAATCTCCAGTACGTCAGGGGTTGGCACTAGTCAAATGGCGGGCTCGCAGTTCAGCTCGCCGCCTCCACGCACCCGAGAGCAGATGGAGCTCCAGCAAGTAGAGAGGATCCGCTTAAGGTTAGAGGAGGAACTTAGACAAGCTACTGGGAGAGAGAAAAAGATCAAAGAGAGACGTGTCAGACTAGAGAGTAGGGAGGCAGACATGGCTGCGCTAGAGGCATTAAACGACACTGCCCTAAACACTACAGGAAAGATCCTAAAGGCAAGCGTCCTCTCCATGCATACGTACATAGACAGCAAGATGGACGCCATGCAAGATACTCTAGACCAGATCCTACAAGCGCTACATAAGCCAGGGATCCGGCCAGCAACTTTACCATCGCTGCCACTCTCAGCGATGACAGGCCTCTATGCCGCTCAGTCAGGACCACCACCAAGTGTTTCATCAACAGTAGCTCTATCTCAAACCGTTGCTTCTTCATCTTCAGGTCCAGTGACTGTTGCTACACCACAGTCGCCACCTGTCTCACAACAGGGACAACAATATCCTTGGTACCCCAACACCCCACTGAACCCACCTGCAACCTTCTCAGGAGATAAGAAGGATGAGGCTCTCGACACATGGTTGAGAACGGTGCCAGTGTGGGTAAGGGCAAAAAGGACATTGGTAGAAGAGGAGGTGATAACTGTTGCATCCTACTTAGAGGGTTCAACAACCCGTTGGCTAAACGAATTGGTAGCTTCAAAGGGCTTCGGCAGCAACATGCATGGTTGGGCGTAGACCCATACACTAGAAAGCTTTATGGACTTAGTGGAGGCTCGTTGGCACAACCCTCATCAGGCACAGATTGCCATTGATGGGCTCTTACAGCTTGATACTAAAAAGTACAAGTCAGTGCGAGAACTCACCACAGTCGTAGAGCGCCTGATCATCGTCCCGGGAGTGGAGTACAATCCACAAGTCTTGCTGACCATGTTCCTGAGATGTCTTCCCACAAATATTAGGAATTTATTAGCCAGCGAGGCTCGACGCGAGTATCACACTTTTGAGTCATTCAGCAAGAAGGCCCTAGACTTAGAGGCTACGCTGGGTGAAGCTGAAACTCCTTCTACGGATGGGAGAAAGAAGAAGACTCCACCAGAGTGGAAGAAGAAGGGTAGTCGATTGATGATGGTTGATTCCGATGGGAATCAAACCGAGATCGATGATGTTTTCGATCTTGTGGAAGGTTCAGAGTTTGACGGCGAGGAGAGTGCTGAGGGTAGCAACCTCTCCGTCGTAGTTAAGACTAAGGCAGCTGGCCGCGGCAAGGGCGGTCAACAGAGGAGTCGGGGGCAGGCCGCTAACCCAAACAAAATAGCTGCTTGGGTTAGAGCAGGTCTGGATCAAGAAGTGTGGCGGGACCGTTGGAGTCGTGGTGCTTGCATTAACTGCGGTGAGTACGATCACACACAGTTCAAGTGCAAGAACCCGAAGGTCTCGCAGAAGATCCCTCCTAAGGGTGGGTTTTCTTCTTCTCAATCTGGGGCCTCTACGAGCTCCAGCTCGGGAAACACTTAGGGCCAGTAGAATTTATAGCTGCTTCTACTCTCGTTGAAGTGGGTGATGTACCCTCCCCGTTTCAAGAGATGGCCAAAGCTATTGACTCCTTAGTCACCCCGTAGACGCATCCGGACCCAACTATACTCTGTACGTTGGATGTGTCTGAAGCCTTAGAGGACCCTCAAGGTGAGCGGTCGGCAAGGGACCCTCGTGAGTCCTGGGTGGCACTGAGTAGAGGTCCTAGAGGGGAGCACTTCGTTGTGGAAGTTGATGTGGGCGGTCGCAAGTGCAGCGCCTTCGTAGACATTGGCTCCACACGAAACTTCATAAGTCGCGACTGTGTTGACAGACTGTGCCTAAAGGACCGGGTGCAGTGCCTTAGTAGACCGGTAGCATTTACTTTGGCCAACAAAGAGCGCATGATGGTGGAGGACTACGTTAAAGATGTCGTCTGCACCTTCTCCTACCCATGAGGAGAGATAAACCATAAGATATCATTCCTGGTGAGCGACGAGTTGCCCTTTGACATGTTATTGGGCATGTACTACCTTGAGGTTGCCAAGCCCCTGTTTGACTGGGACAAAAAGGTTTTGAAGCACGAGTTGCCTAGTGGGAGAACCTTGAGACTGGCCAAGTACAAAGCCAGTAGGTTAATAGACTCCTATGGGTGCCTATGCGTGTCTGCCTTCTATAACTATTATAAACAGAACCAAGAGGAAGGAATGTACTTAGTCTATGTCTCTGTAAAAGGGGAGGCCTTTAAAACACCCCGAGAGATAGAGACCATCGTCGCCAAGTACCCAGATCTGTTCGAGGAGCCTACAGGAGTCGTAGACAGGGAGATTGTCCATGCCATAAATATTATCCCAGGAAGTAAAACACCTAAGGGAAGAATCTATAGGATGGCTCCAGCCGATTTGGACGAACTTCGGCGGCAACTGAAAGAGCTCACAGAGAAGGGTTGGATTCGGCCTAGCACTTCCCCCTTTGGCTCACCAGTATTGTTTGTTACAAAGAAAGGGGGAACACTAAGGATGTGCATTGATTATAAAGGCCTCAATGCCATCACCGTTAAGAACGCAGAGCCTCTACCACGCATCGACGACCTATTGGATAGGGTGCAGGGGTGTAAGTACTACACAAAGATAGACTTAAAATCCGACTACCATCAGATTGCCATAAGACCAGAGGACCAACACAAAACCGCATTTCAGACCAGGTACGGTCTGTACGAGTTTGTGGTGATGCCCTTTGGCCTTTGCAATGCGCCGGGTACATTCCAGCACGCCATGAATAGGATCTTCCATGACTACTTGGACAAGTTTGTTGTCGTGTACCTCGACGACATACTTATCTTTAGTAGATCTGTCGAGGAGCATGCTCATCATGTAGACACTGTGCTTTCACTCCTTCGGCAGCACAAGTATAAGATAAACTCTTAGAAATGCGAGTTTGGTCGCACTCGAATCTTGTACTTGGGTCACGAGGTATCCGCGGATGGGATTAGGCCCGAAGATGCGAAGGTGGCTAGCATTCGTGACTGGCCACGACCCCAATCTGTGACTAAGGTCAGATCATTCTTGGGAATGTGTGGTTATTACCGCAATTTCGTAAAGAATTATAGCACAATTACATCTCCCTTGACTGATCTGACTCGACTCGATACACCATGGGACTGGACCGACGAGTGTGAGGCAGCTTTCAAGCGTTTGAAGCATGCACTCACGCATCATGAGGTTCTCATGGTACCCGACCCGCAAAGGCCATTCGTTGTAACCACTGACGCAAGCCAATATGGGATTGGCACAGTGCTAGCTCAGTAGGAAGGGAAGAAGTTGAGACCGATCGAGTACATGAGCAAAAAGATGCCTTCAAAGAAGTTGGCAAAGTCCACCTATGAGAGGGAACTCTACGCTCTTTACAAGGCACTTGTCCATTGGAGGCACTATCTGTTAGGAAGGTTCTTCTATCTGAGAACTGACCATCAGACCCTCAAATGGATCAAGACTCAACCTGTTCTCTTTGATGCACTCAAACGCTGGATTGAAGTCATAGATCAATATGACTTCAAACTAGACTATTTGAAGGTAGAGTACAACAAGGTTGCAGACGCATTGTCTAGGAGGGCAGATTACCTGGGTGCGCTAATTTTTTAGTTTGGTTTGTTTGAGGACGTGGCTCGATCGTTGGATGAAGCCTACAAGGAAGATCCCATCATGATGGACATCATCAACAAACTACAGGCTAAAGATAAGGCCACCACTGATGAGTTTGTGATGGTGGATGGGTTGCTCTTTCTTGAGAAGGCAGGGTTCAAGAGGTTAGTTGTTCCATCTGGGGAATCTTTGCGTAGTTTATTTCTAGGTGAGTGTCACGACGCAATGGGACACTTCGGTTATAAGAAGACTAGTGCTAATTTAGTACAGCGATTCTGGTGGCCCAACATGCTTGACGATGTGAAGAAGTACGTGAAGACCTGTCAGGTCTGTCTGCGGGACAAGCCGCGGACTCAAGCTCCGCTTGGGTTACTCAAGCCTTTACCAATTCCTGTTGGCCCAGGGCAGAGTATCTCCATGGATTTCATGGATACTCTTGTGACCAGCAAGAATGGCAAGAGGCGCATCTTCATCATAGTGGATAGGTTCACTAAATACGCTGGATTAATGGCCATGCCCGAAACTGCCAGGACTGAGCACGTCATCAAGTTGTTCATGGACAACTGGGTGCGTGACTTTGGACTTCCGAAAACGATCATCAGTGACAGAGATGTACGTTTCACAAGCGAGATGTGGAAGAAGCCCGCTGAACAGATGGGCAGCCAACTTCAGATGACTTCTGGGAATCATCCCGAAGCAAATGGGCAGGCTGAACAGATGAACCGAGTGGTGCAGCATCTGCTGAGGCATTACATCAAGCCCAGCCAGGATGACTGGGATGAGAAGTTACCTCTTATCGCCAGTCTGTACAACAACGCTGTACACAGCACCATCGGTGTCAGTCCTAATCAACTACATCTGGGATGGAAGCCTAGATCTGCTCTAGACTTCCTCCTGCCTGAAAATCGAACTGCTGCAACTCCTGGAACCATCGAATTTGGTGTCCAGTATGAGAAACTGCTGCAGCAGACTGTCGAACACATTAAGAAATCTCAGGAGGTCATGATTGCTTCTGAGAACAAGCGTCGTCGACAGTCCACATTTCAGGTAGGGGAACATGTCTGGGTCAAGGCTAGTGAACTGGGACAGGAGTTTGGCATCTCTACGAAACTAATGCCACAGTATTTCGGTCCCTGGGAAGGCCTGGATATCGTGGGGAATGATTTGGATGGTCCCTCGTACGTTATTCGTATCGCTGGTCACTTACGCACTTACCCTGTTTTCCACGCTTCCAAACTTGCACCTTTCGCTGAGACAGCACAGTTCCCATAACGGATATCTATGCTGCCCCCAACCATGGATGGCCACGTGGATGTCGACGACATCCTGGATCACAGAGATACGCCTGTTCCTAAGCCACCTGGCAGGGGAAGACCTCCCAAACCTGCGAGGGAATACAGAGTACATTTCAGGCATCATACAGATCTAAAGGAAGATCGATGGATTTGAAGGGAGGAACTTGTCAAGACAGCTCCTCAGATCGTGGCCGATTATGAGAAAAGACTGAAGGGGAAGGCACCAGCATGAAGCATCTCAGCGGACTTTCGAAGCTAAGGGGGATGGAATGTGAGGAACAAGCCCTCAAGTGGCCCTATCAGACATCACATTGTTCTGGGCCAAGGCCCCAGCAAGCCAAGTGCCCGCCCTAAGTGAAGGCGGGCC